TCACAAATGTTCTTTCACTACACAATTTCAGCTGGTGAAAATTATTTTTCCTCTGGGTCCAAAAAAGTTTTGAGTAGACCCTGAATTAAAACTATGAGAAAATCACCACGGCAAAACTGGAATTTTAAAACTAATGTTTTTGCAAAGAAGAAAAATAAGTGTGTGTGCCCTTTGGCTGATCTATAACCACAGCATGGTCTTTTCAGCATTCCTTTTCTTAACATGCAAAATATTTTCCAAACTCCCATCCTGTTTTTTTAGGAACTGTGTCAGACTGCATGCAGCTTCTGAAACTAAGGCAGTAACAGTGTGGCACTATAAAACTTGCATATTCTATTTCATTGAAAGTATATAATGCCCAGATGATACATCCTGAATACACAGGAAAATGAAATAAATTAAGCAGAGCTGATGATAAATGTGTTGATCTCACTCTCTGAAGACCCACTGCTTTTCATCCTGCTCTTTCTCTTGGTTCTCATGTAAGATATCTTACATGCTTAAAGAGTTCCTGACTGATGTTTCTCAGCTGACCTATGACCTTATGGAAAATACGCAAACAACTCAGAGAAGATTTAAATGTCAGACACGAGCTGGGAGTGTGCCATTATTTCTGTACCTGTAGGGGGTCATGCCTGGGCTGGCTCTGACTGTCCTAGCATAGAATGTTCCAGGTGCAGGCTGGTAATGCAGCTCTGCTACTGCACTTACACCAAGATCATGCAGCTCTTACCTTACTTGAGAAATAACGATACTCTGAGAACTGCTATACTGGCCAAGACCCAGCAAAAAAATGTCTGTGGGTGAGGAGACTAATAACTGAGTCCAGTAACTCTGTAACAACCAAGGAAGCTCCCGCAGCAGTGGAACCACTCCCTTTGCTAGCAACTGGTTAAATGGGTGAGGGTTTTTACTGCCATCTACTGTGCAAACGCTTCAAGCCAGAGGGAAATAAAAATTCTGTCTCTTGGTTCTCAAATAAATGAAATTGCTTCTGAAAAGAGAGAGAAAGCAGAGCTTGATTTCTCTCTACATCTAATATTCCCTTTATTTATCTTCTTTTCTAATTCAGAAATAATTTGGGTATTTTATTTCCTTCCTGTGCTGAGAGTAGAAACATCAGGCTTGATCAAGGTAATTGTTATCCCTTCACTCTTTGCATTTTCCATCAACATAAATTTTCCACATATCTATGTATACATAGATAGTATTTTTAGTTGCCATTTTTCTATTTTTCTTCATTTTATCTAGTACAAATATAAATATGTCCTTTTTGACAACTTCAGCTCTTGTCTGTTAATTATATTCCAATAGATTCAACACTTTTAGGTCCAGAAATCTTTACAGAAGTTAGTCTTTAATTATTGGAATCCAGTTGGAATAATGGGAATCCACTGGATTAATGGACCATTTCATTGTTTCACAATAAATTCAAAAAAGAAAACAAAGTAACTTCCTTACACTACTACTTTCTTCATTTTTAAGAGCCCTTTCCTACACATTCATCCTACGAGCTTCAGTCTGGGTCTGTGGTAGTTACAAATTGTGTTTAATAATATGAAAGAGCAGAGATGTGCTCATGATTTCAGGTCTGACCAGCACTTTATCAGGGGAATACTGATCACTTGTTTTCTACCTTTCAAACCTTTCATGCTGTTTGTTAAAAACATTACCTGTTTTTTCAATGGAAGGGTTACATTTTAGGGGCGTGTCACTGCAGAGTTTGTCAGTGAACTAGAAAAGTAAATGAGATCATCACAGCAAAAAATAATGTGATCAAAGTCCAGACCTACAATCAGGAACAGCCATAATAACATCTGTTATTATTGCTGAGACATCAGAATCCACAAAGCATTTGCTGAAATGGAGGACTGACAGAAGTGATGAAGTTGTTTTCAAAATTCCTGATTTTTTTTTTTTTTTTTTTTTTTTTAACCCCAAGAGTTGTGTTTTAGGAAATGTTTAAGCCTCACAGTTTGCAAATGCCTGATGTTTCCACAAACTGGTGACCATCAGCAGCAGAGTGAGCATATTGTACCTTTTGCTGGTGGGCTACAGCACTGCAGAGCAGCACAAAAGCTGCTGCCCACCTTCCTGTTCCCCAGCTCACATCATCACAGTGTTATGAAAAAGCCAGTGAATGCTGTGGCATACAACCAAAGAGCAAGATAATTGGGAAGATACACCAGCACTTTGGAGATCTTGTATTATTGAGCATTTGGTGTTTGTCTTAGAGGCACTAAAACCTTAAGGGATTCTTGATGGTGAGACTCCAGAACTGGGCCCAAGTGGAGGTGAGTGAGCACAGCCCTGCCTTGCTGAGACACCCATTGTCTCACACCATTCTTTATCATCTGAGTAAGGCATATCTCAACACAAATCCAGCAAGTATAGCCTGGCAAGGAGGCAGAGCAGGGGGAAAATCAGCTGGTTTAGTATTAAACTGATCATCTGGATATTTTTCCACCATGCCAGAGGGATTTCCAGATTGACTTTTCTGGTTATGTTACATAAAGATGTATTATAGATGAGACTTTGTGCCTGTACTTCTGAGTCACTGATGGACAAAAATTGAAGAAATGTCTTTTTTATAAAATTAGAATTGGATCAGCCTAGTGCTTGCTGTCATCATTTTCTATTGCTATCAGAAGAAAAAGAGTAGAAAATCCTCAAAACATTGTAAGCCTGATACCTCAGTTCAAAGTTAGCAAACCCAGCAGTTTAGAGGAAGATAAAACAGATAACAATAGGCCAGGTTGTGCTACTGGACTTAGCACAAAGCTCTCCATTAAGGCAATCAGAGAAAAATGGCAAACTGTTTCTGGCCCATTCCAAAGTGTCATGTCAAAGAGTGTTCATGCTGAGCAGGTTAATGTAGGAATGCAGAGAATCCTGCTGCAAAATGCTTCCAGAGACAGTTTAACACCGTGAAAATGAGTTACAAGAAGGTAAATACATCATCTTGTACCAGTTGGGTATGAAGTTGTACTGTGATAAGCAATGGAGTTTTATTGAGAAAATACTAATGAGCAATAAATGTCTGCAGTGGAAAGGGTAGCATCTGGTCTGCATTTGACATCCCACATGAAAGCTATTTGGCCTGACTTTCTGCCAAATCCTGCCATTTTTGAGATCATTGGACATGAAGAAGATTGAAATCCCCAGGTTAGCATCTCGAAGTGAGCCATACTCGTAAGCAGAAGTGGGGAGTCTGTCCTTCTAGAACTCTCCATATGCCAGCTGTTCCATCCACACTTTTCTAGGCTGAAACTTGACACTTCAGCAGTTCTGGAAGATTAACCTACTGTAATTCCTGACAAACCTAGTTCACATATGGTCATCTTGCATTTAAGAGGTTTTATGTGGGTCTTAGCCCAGCTTGCTGTACTTCAGTCTGGCATACATTTAGCAGCAGGTTTTTTTCATTTGATTCTGCAAACATTTGCTGGGGAGTGCAGAGTTAAGAAATTATTTTGTGACTTAAAGTATTCTACACCTTCTCTACCTTTTTCTTATGCATCAGAGCAATGAAAGTGTTGGTTAATACCAGGTTATTTTGTCAGAGCCACGTTGGTGCTGGTAGGAGTTACAACTTCACCTCCATCAGGAGGAAGAGTAAGTGGTGCTGAGCCTGCTGGGACTCTGCTTCAAAAGCCTTTATTTTCAAAGAATAAGTCTTTGGGGAGGATTGACAGGGATTTAGCTCATTTTGCCAAATAGCACCTGTAACTGCACGTGGACACAGCTGATGGCTTTTGGTGGTTAACTAAAGAACCAGCTCTAAGTCCCCTGTACCTGGTGCTGGTGAGGCCACCTCTCAAGTGCCTCTTAAGTGCCAGTTCTGTGCCCTTCAAGACAAGAAGACACTGAGGTGTGTCCTAAAAAGGACAACAGAGATGGGGAAAGGTCTGGAGTACAAGTCTGATGAGATGAGGGAGCTGGGGGTGTTTAGCCCCCAGAAAACGAGATTCTGGGGAGACCTTATTGCCCTCTACAACTCCCTACAGCAGGAGGGTGTACCCAGCTGGGGGTCGGACTTTACCCCCACACAAGTGACACGATGAGAGGACACAGTCTTATGCTACGCCAGGGGACGTTTAAGATGGGCAGTAGGAAGAATTTTATCACTGAAAGAGTAAAATCGGAATAGGCTGACCAGAAAGGTGTTGGGAGTCCCGACCCCGGAGGTGTTCAAGAGCGGACGCTGCACTCGGTGCTGCAGTCCGGTTGATACGGTGGCGCTCGGTCCCAGGCTGGACTCGCTGATCTCAGAGGTCTTTTCCAGCCTCATCGTTCCCGCGATTCCGCTTGTCGCGCCGAGCCCGGGGCAGCGGCCCGAGTGCCGCCCGCGCTGCCCCGCGCGGCCGCCGCAGGCCCCGCCGGGGCCCGTCCCGCTCGATGCGCTCGGGGCTCGGCCCGGCGAGGCGGCGCCTGTGGCCCGGTGCTGCCGCGTCCGCCCGGCCATGGCGGGCCTGGCGCGGGCCCTGCGGCGGGCGGCGGCCCCCGCGCGGCTCCCGGTGCCCCGCGGGGCGGGCGGCGGGGCCGGGCCGCGGCCCTGGGGCTGGGGGCTGGCGCTGGGGCTGGCTCTGGGCGTTCGGGCGGCGCCGGCGGGAGACGAGGCTGAGGGCGGGCGGCAGGAGAAGCCGCCGCGCCCGCGCGGCTTCGGCGCGGCCGTGGAGAGGAGCAGGGACCTGGTGCGGAGGATCAAGGTGCTGAGCGGGGGCACCGCTGGAGGTGCCGGTGCTGGCGCCGCTTGTGCCAGCTCGATACAAGGGTGTATGGAAGCGTGGCACAGGATGGGGTATCCTGAGAACGCGGGAGGGCCTTAAAGGCTATGGGGAGGAGAGGCGAGAGCCGTCCGAGGGCGCTTGGGTCAGCCGGCAGGAAAGACCTCGCTGCGGGCTGCAGCTTCCTCGTGAGGGGAAGCGCAGGGGCAGGCACGGATCTCTGCGTTTCTGTGACCGGGGAATACCAGAAAATCGTGTCAGGAGGAGTTTAGGTGGTATTAGGAAAAGTTTTTTACTTAGAGGGTGGTCAGGCACTGAACAGGCTCCCAGGTAAGTGGTCGCGGCTCGCAAGCCTGACAGAACTCAAGGTTTGACTCACGCTCTCAGGCACTGGCTGGCATTGTTGGAGTTCTGTGCAGGGCCGGGAGTTGGCCTCTAAGATCCTTGTGAGAGCCTTCCAACTCAGGATATTCTGTGATTCTGTTTAAAAAGCACGTTGTAGTTACTTCGAAAATCCAGCTGAAGCTTTTTTGAAATCTTGCCTGCCAGTAGGTGATGCTGTTTGCTGGTTGCATATTAACGGTCATGTTTTGTCTCTTTTGCATGTTCTGTTCAGTAATTTAATTGAATTATTAAAACAAAAATATTACCTTGTTATTCTTGTTAGGTATGGTTTTCCCCATAGCTGAGTTAGAATGTCAGCTTTGCAAAAGCAGTTTGTACCAGTTCAACCAATCTGGTACATAACAAAATTTCAGCTATAATTTGGCAACAATAAGCAGGTTTGTTTGTAGGGGTTTTGTAGCTTTTTCAGTTCAAGGGCTTGGGAGGAGGTGTTTTTCTACTTAAATATCCTTCTAAATGTCTTCTGTCCATTTTGTTTTTTGCAGGATGAAGCAGGAATCCCTGGGATATTAGTTGGAGTTTCTGTAGACGGAAAGGAAGTCTGGTCAGAAGGTTAGTATACGGGAGTAGTAGTTTTGCATGCTGTCAAGAACTGATGAACATTTAAAAAATGAACAATTCAGACAAGCTAATCTTGTCTAAATCAGACTGGGATTTTGTCTACTTGATGTCCCATCTCTGGACAGTAGCCAGAAATGGGTGTTAGGGAGTATCAAATGACACCTTCCTTGGTAAACGTCAGTTATTTCCAGGAATTGATGATTTGTTGACTTCCTGAATATGCTAGTATGTCTCAACAGTTAGACTGGAGAACCTTTCTTCCATTAGTTTTTCAGATTAACCTTTCAATGTGCTCTGGGCATAAAGCTGTACAGTGGTCTGGTAGCACTCTGTGTAGGAGGTAAAGAACCGTTCTCCCCACAGGAACTTCCTTGCTAGGCAAAGGAATAAGGGCTCACATTTGGTGACCTGTCTCCTGTTTGTGGGCTGAGGTGTAGTTTTATTGGGAAGGTACTGGGATTTAACAGGTGTTGTCCTTTCAGAAGTTGCAATTGATTTTTCTGGTTACACAGTTTAGTTCTAAGTAGAGTCTGTTAGTACTTCTTCTATCATGTAGACATATGATATTTTAAAAAAACTCATCAAAATGTGTGTCTGTACTCAGAAACATTTTCCTGAGTTTCAAAACAACCAATTCTGGGATGTTTGGGTCTCCTCCTCCCTTCTCCATGGGGAGCAAAGTAGGAACAGGTGTAAGTTGCATATATTCTGTGATCACAGTTCTGAACCTGTTTTCTTGCTGATGGGAACAGTGTGAGGTTTGGAAGGTGTTTTCACAGGGGGGAAATAATCTGCATTAACAGGCACCAGGCACTTTAGTAGCAACTATATAAGAGAAAGGGTCTTGGGTAAATGGCATGTAATCTGTTTTATTTCTTGTACTTTGTCAAGGTTTGAGGTTTTCCCCTGAGCAGTTCATTATTAGACTACAGTTTTATATAGACAGAGGTGTGTTGCTTGCAGGCCTTTCTTGTACTGCAAACATGTCATTGCTGCATTTTCTTGCTTTTATGCTGCAACATCATTTGCACTTTCTTCAAACCTAGCTCAAACTGAAGCCTAGTTTGGCAGCTTGATAGTGACTTATTAATTCCAGTTCTTGCTACCAGCCTTGTGGGTTGGTTACATAGGAAAACACTGTTACAGAGACTGTTAACTGTATTTTAATTGAAGTCATGCTGAGTGATGTTGAAACATAGTAACACCTCAGTTCTGTGACACCTTACAGCTTAGGTAATTGGCATGAATTTGTGATTTCCTCTCTCAGTTTCTGTATTGATAAAACAAGACCTTTACTGCTTCAGTCATTAATTCAGAACAGTAAAAGGAGTGTTTTTGACTGCTGGGCAGTTATTTTACAGTCTAGATTTTGGTCTTTTTGGGTTTTCTACACTGAATATTTGACCTCAGGAGGAGTGTAAATTTTGGCTTAATCTTCAATCTCATTTATCATTATGTTTGTTATAGTCTTAATCAGCAATTTGAGATGCCATTGTCTCATCCAATGGGCTCTGATTAACTGCTACTACTACAGCAAAATGTTATTGACTGAATTGAAGCAGAGGCTGGGATCGTCCAATGCTTTGGATCCCAGTTTACTGGAGGAAAAATATTTTAAAGGGCCAGTAAATCTAATTAATGGCATATAATTAGTTCAACATGTCTCTGTGCAAAGGACTTAGCAGAGTGTTTTTATTTCCTTACAGGTCTGGGCTATGCTGATGTAGAGAATCGTGTGGTGTGCAAGCCAGAGACCGTCATGCGCATCGCCAGCATCAGCAAGTGTCTGACAATGATGGCTGTTGCTAAACTCTGGGAAGAGGGAAAGCTGGATTTAGATGCTCCAGTGCAGAAATATGTCCCTGAATTTCCAGAAAAGGTCTATGAGGGTGAAAAGGTATGTAATTGTTTATTGGTAAGAGTTTTCTTCAGTTTTTGTTCCTGTCACTACATAGCTATCTGTGTGCAGGTACCTGATCTTGACCTAGTCCTACAAAACATTCAAAATCGTCTAGACAAGTACTGATGGTTCCTGCTCAAAAAAGCATATTTGGATCTTCACTTTTATATCAAGTGTGTATGTCCACCTATATACTTTTTTTTAATACTGTGTTTAATATGTGATATTTAAAATGTCTTGTACCTTTGTCTGTTCTTTGTCATGGTGAATGTTACTTTTTCAGTGATTTATTGTTTGTCTTTTAATGAAGAGAGCTCACATTATTCTGTCTACCTAGGTCACTATTACCACAAGACAGTTAGTTTCACACTTGAGTGGGATCCGTCACTATGAAAAAGATATTACAAAAGTAAAAGAAGAAAAGGAAAAGGCAAACAGAGCACTTAAGCTAGCAAAAGCAAAAGAAGGTAAAGGGCTTGAAAACACTGACAATGTTAAACAGAAGAAAGAACATGATAGTGAGACAAAGAGCCGAAATTCAAAGCCTGGCAGGAACAACAAGGAGTTTGAACAGGAAGAGTATTATTTGAAGGAAAAATTTGAAAGTGTGATTGAATCACTGAAGATATTTAAAAATGATCCTTTATTCTTTAAACCAGGTGAGTTTCTATTAATGCAGACCAAAATTTGCTCTTCTGGTGAGAGTTTTATTTCAAATAGTTTTACATGTAATGGTGATAATAGAGTCCAGTGAAGAGTGTTTATGTGGGGGTTTTGGTTTGTTCTGCTTCTCTTCCTTTTTTGTTTTAGTTCACATGTCCCATTAAAAGCTCAACAGAGAAGTATTTGGTCTGTTCTGCACAAACTGTCTGGTCATGTAATATTTATGTATAAAACTTTTCTCCCAGGAGCAGTAAGTGTTCTGAAACATACCAGTTAGTGGATTTATAAATGCTGAAGCAGAAGATAATTCTGGTAACAAATTTGTATCTACAAAGTATTTTGTAAGCAAATACCAACTTGCTGTAGTCATGTTCTGGGGCTTCTAGATAGGAATCAAAAGCAAAAAAATTTACTGAGGTACTAAATCAGACCTTAAAAAAATCTACAAAAACCCCCATAGAATCACAGAATTACTGAAGTAATTTATTGTTTGGATTATTTATATTAGGTCTAGAGAGGACTTTGAGGACTTCAGGTGTAAATTTTAAATGTTAGGTTAAGGTAAATTATATGCATTGCTGATAAATAGTAAATAATGTGCATTTAAGGGAAGAGGGGTAGAAAGAGGGTGAAGTTAAACACTCACCATTTTGGAGAGCTCTAGGAACCACTTCAAGTAAGAGATCTGCCTCAACTGTAGGCACTTCAGCAGTTGCTTGATATGTAAATGTTTCACAGAAAGCATTAGCACAAGGATGAGATTTTTTTAAAATGAAACATTGTTTTGTAAATAAATTCTATTGTCTTAAATAATATACATGTTGGTGTTTGTATAATCTTTTGGGATATTCTAGAACTAGAAACACTGTGTTAAAAGTGATGAATACCCTTGAGAAATGGGAGTACTGCTGGTTTTCTCCCTTCTCCAGGGTATGAACACACAAACAAGTCACAGTAGCTGATCATCTTTTAAGCAGTAACTTTATGGCTTGTGTCAGCTTTCCAAATCCAGACATCCTTGTTAGACCTGATGTGATAAATCTCCTGGAAAGGATGTTAAATGTTAGTGTTGACATCTTGGCATGAAACCCAGCTGTACATAGAGATCTCTGGAAGATTTTAGTGCTGTTCTCTTAGCAGGATGTGTGTCTGCTGCAGTGCAGAATTTCCTAGGCCTAGGATTAACAATGGTTGATTATTAATTGCTATATATATTTATTTGCACATATGATTCCATTTAAGCAATTAATGTGGGTTTTTTTCCCTTTCTCACTACTTTCTTCAAGGTAGTCAGTTCTTGTACTCAACATATGGCTTTACTCTCTTAAGTGCTGTTGTGGAGAGAGCTTCAGGACAAAAATTTACAGATTATATGCTGAAAATGTTTCGTGATTTGGATATGCTGTCAACTGTCCTAGATGATAATGAAGCAATGATATATAACAGAGCAAGGTAAACAGGGGTGGAACTCTTAATTTTTCCACAACAACTGTTGTCCTTTCTATTTTAATTAAGATAGCTTAATTAAGAATGTGTGATTTTTCTTTTGCCAGACATTTGAATGAAGTGTTGTATGTTACCTCAGCATTACTCAGGTAGCTGGTTCCAATGCCATGGTATAAGTTCTGTAATTAGCATGTAAAATTACAGAATAAGAAATAAATATTTCTTGTTCTAAGTGTGAATATGGGAGGTGAGTGGAGTCTTTATTCTTAGTATATCCTAAGATTAAGCAGAAGGATTAGTACTTTTATTGAAGTTAAGCTTCTAACCTAAGTCACCTTAATTTTTGTTCTTCTGTCTGAATTATTTGTTGATTTTTCTGCAGTCAATAGATTTTTAAAATGTGTTTTAAAAACCCTTTAAATGTTTGCAAGAACAAGCTAATATATGCTTAGTTAGCTCTTTTAAGGCAAAGCAGCTTAAAATCATTGTGCATAGTCCATAAGAATGACAAGTTGAATTTTCTTGAATTTTAGGTGTTACATTTACAACAAAAAGGGACGGCTGGTAAATGCACCGTATGTGGACAACTCTTACAAGTGGGCTGGTGGTGGCTTCCTGTCATCAGTAGGTGACCTCCTGAAATTTGGAAATGCCTTGTTGTACAGTTATCAAGCCGGACAATTTAAAAACAAGAATGGCAAACTTCTTCCAGGGTACCTCAAGCCAAGCACAGTTGCAATGATGTGGACTCCAGTGCCAAAAACAGAAGTGTCGTGGGACAGGGATGGCAAGTACGCCATGGCTTGGGCTGTGGTAGAGAAGAACCAGCAGTACGGCTGCTGCAGGCAGCAGAGGCACTACGCATCTCATACCGGGGGCGCCGTGGGGGCCAGCAGTGTCCTCCTCATCCTGCCTGAAGAGCTGGAGCCTGAGGCTGTGGGTGCTTGGCCAGTGGCCCCCCCCAGAGGAGTCATTGTCACCATTATCTGTAACATGCAGTCGGTTTCGCTCAACAGCACTGCCTTAAAGATCGCGAGGGAATTCGATAAAGAGAAACGGGCACAATGAATAGACTAAAAGAGATGTATGGGACTGAACTCACTGTACTGAAAAACAAAGGGAGAAGGGTGGAATTAGACTTCAAGTTCACTAAGAATATGGGAAGAAAAACATAAAAAATTCACTTAATTAACCTCTGCTAGTGGTGCTAAACTTATGTCTAACTGGAATTTATCTCTCAGGGAAGTTTCTAACTCACAGGAAATGAGAATGTAACAGTCAAGGGTGACTTTCTGTAGTACCTGTGTAAATTATCATTATATAAGCAGGTTATTTTTACCAACTAGTGAAACACTTGACCAAGATGAAAAAATAGCCTTTTTTTTTTTTTTTTTTCACTAAGGTACAAATTATCTACCTTGAATGTTAACCTTTTGAAAAATTTCACATCTTGATTTGAGCACACAGATATGTTGCTTGTTATTCTCACAGTTTGTCTGCCAAAACTATTCAGTATTACTTCTTAAAGAAAAATTGTGTCACTATTGCTTTTTGTTTTCACATACCACTTCCCTTACCTGCTTAAAAAACCAACAAAACCCAAACCTTGAAGCTACCTCCAGAATGCAGAATTATACTAGAAGCAGGCTTTTATCAGAGCTGTGGATTGAGAACTAGAAAATAATTAATCTAGAGCAATGTAAGTAAAATTCTTTTTGTTATTTAGATGTTCTTTCATCCATTTTTATTGGACACAATGTGTGGAATTAGTTTACTATTGCAATAAAGGTATTATTTCTAGAATCAAATCCACCCAAATAGTACAATGTGGCAAGCTGTCAAACTGTCCCATTGTTTTTGAGTGATACACATGCTAACTTGGTAGCCAGAAATGGCACTGTATTCTATAGCCTAGATATTCCCTTGCAAACAGGAATTAGGAACTCAAATAGCTCAATACAGCTCCAAGTCCATTCTTGAAGCCAGGAGTAGACCAATCAAACACAGCCATGGCAGCTGCAGCACAGCTCTAAGTGCTGCAGCCAGGGGTGGGAACTCCACCACCTCCATGGGCAGCTTCTTCCACTGCCTGATCACCCTTTCTGTGCAGAAATTTCTTCCTGTTGTCCAACCTGAACCTCACCTGGTGCAGCTTGAGGCCGTGTCCTCTTGTCCTTTCACCTGTTCCCTGTGAGAAAAGGCCAGCCCCCTGGCTCCAGCCTCCTGTCAGGGAGTTGTGGAGAGTGATAAGGCCACCCCTTTTCTCCAGGATCCTTCTGCTTATTGTCCCCCAGAGAAAGAAAGAATGTCCACTGCCTTTCTCTGGACATGCTCCAGCTCCTCAATGCCCTTCTTGAAGTGAGTCCAAAGTTGAACATGGGACTAGAGGTCTGAGAGTTTCTAATCTTCAGTTTCACAGTGGGAATAAAGTAGCATCTGAAGTGTCCATTTTATATATTTCATAATGGCAAGGAAGATCTCTGTCATGTCAAAGATTTACCCCCACCTCACTTTCCCTGCAGTTACATTAGACAGTACTTCCAGGCTGAGACAAAACAGAAGAATCTTTCAGGAAAGGTTTCAATACTTCCTTTCCTGCACTGCTTAGCAGCTCTGCTTCTCTGAATTTAAGGGGCAAGGTGTCTTGGTTAGCAGCTAGCAGGAGATAGCCCTACCTGTCTCTTTCCCAAACTATTGCTTTTAGTGTTATCTTCACAGTTGTTACCTGCCCTCTGATGATACAGAATGCTGCCATATCTGTTCTCACTATGCCTATGGTAATATTTATTACCCAAGACTAAGAAACTGGGAAATTTAGTATTTTGAGGGGTCAGTGTTTTACCTACATTTTTAATTGGAGCTAATAAGACTAGTTTAGTATATTCTTCATAATTACAATCATTATTGTACCTTAAAAATTGTTTGCTTAGGGTTTCTGGCCCACTCACCAAAATTTCACTTTTTTATTCATTAATAATGTATTGTCTTTATCTCAAGAATATCCAACCATTTCATCTTCTAGCACCTGGAATAAAATGGGTCCCCGGCAGTCTCTGCTTTGGTATTAAATTAATCATGAGTTCTTATCTTTTAGGGTAGAGAAGGCAGAGTTACCAGAGACTAGGAATCAGTCTGGCCTTAGCCTATATATTCAGGTCACAATTAATATTGCCACTTTGATCTTTGTTCTAAAACCAATAATTTGATGGGCTGGCATTGTGCATGGGAAACTAACTAAACTATGTCTGGTCAATTAAGAGCAGCTTTCATGATAAACTTACTTGTGAGTGAACCTTTGTTGTGAGTGGCACTGACATAAACCCGTTTTTCTTAGAAGGCATGTGTATTCCATTGGTACACCTGTTTCTGTATCAAACACCTCCTTCTGCATATGGTAATTACATGTTTGCTGTTTGAAATAACAGAAATAAAACTTACCTTGCAAATTCAACCAATTGTACTATCAGGTTTTTGGTTTATTTTACTGACTAGACATGTACGAGTTTTCAGTGTCATAAAAAGAATACTGGCTAATTAGAAAATCCCAATAATAATCAGCTCACCAAGACACCTGATACTTTTAAAGAGCTGTTGATACATAACTTGAGATATTATTAAATAAAATAAGATATATGTAAGATTTTGTTTTAATGTTTTCTTATGGTTAGAAAAAAACATTTTTACCAGCCATTTAGGAAGATACGGCTTTCAAAAACTAATTAAACCATTTTCCTTATTGCAAGAAGGCAATTATTAAATTGACAGTATTTAATACTAACAATATGCACGTGCCTAAATAATATTCACACCTCTTAGTGTAGTTCCATGACATACAATTGCTTATATGCCAGTTGCCTTTTCTATACTGCATGTTTTCAGTGCTTTGCAAAGGAAATTTTTTTTTTTTGGATAGACATATCAGTTTAAAGTACCAAGTGCAGTCTTGAGATCAAATTACCAGGAGGGAAAATCCATGCATTCCAAAGAAACAGCTGCTGAACAGAGGTGAGTAACTTTTCATTTTTATTTATCACCATATTGCCCAAGAGGGGGAAGGGACTACAGCAACGCTGAAAGCAAATGAGCCATTTTAAATCTTATCTAGTTTTTGCAACCCTTGCAGTTATGGTAGCTGCAGTAATAAAATACACAAAATGCATTTTTAAAGCAGTTTCTGTCACTATTTGCATTACACTGCTGTAGTTTATGATCAGCAAGGGGAAGGATGCAGGAAGTCCAAGGTTTTTATTGTTTAAACATAAAATTATAAAAATAGAGCAAATAGAGCTCGGTTGTCTGCAAACTTACAGGAAAAACCTGCACTTCAGATCATTTATTGAAAAAGAGATTCCAGCAGATTAGTGAGAATTAGCAGATTAGTGAGAAGTAGTAGTGTAATTTGTACAAAATCAATCATAATTACATTGTTCTTGTAGCAGGCATTTTTAAACTGGTAAGGCTTTCAGGAACAGAGATCCAAAAATCACATGCTGAACTGTTCAGTGTTGCTTTCTTCTAAATGAACAGCCTGCAAAGAAATCATGTGAGTAGAGATATGAATAGTTCTTAAATTGTTAGACTGCCTGGAAAAATTGTCCATCCAATGTAAGTAGAAAAATTCTTGGATTAAATTTAAATTTCATGTACCATAAGAGGCAAAGATTTAACACTGTTAGTCTTCTCTAGCTCAACCTGAACAACATGGCTGTCCATGCAACTCATCTTAAAATAAGATTACGATGCACTATTTATTTTCTTCCAGATGCCTTTAAAAGTTTCAGTCTACTGTTCCATCCCTTAGTGATACAAACCCCAAACTGAAACAGCTGCTATGTGTGTTGTTACCATTTCAGCTGCTCAACAGCCTTACTTCAGGTATTCTCACGTTTACTACCCCTGTGTAGTAGCACATTACATAAGCACTGCTATGTGTAATTTATATACATGCTTACCTTTTGCCCTTTAAACAAGAAATTAATAAAATCTGGATTAATTTTTACATTTTTTAAATCCTGAAGTGTTTCTAGTGCTTTTCACATACCCAGAATTGGGCTGCACTCAAAGATAATGGTGTTATACAAGTTATCTGTATATACATTATCAGTGGTTATTTGTTCCCTTATAATTTATATGAAACAACTTTTCTTTGAGCCAGGGACTGCTTTACAGTAGGGCTGTTTAAAAACAAACAGGCAAGCCATTAGTGACTAGCAGTGGCACAGAATAACTCTAGCCTGGCAAAAGTACCCTACTCCTTTGATGGTGCTTTTGAAGACTTTAAACACAGCTCAGAGTTAAACAGCAGTATTCATTACAGAAGCTGAAGGGAATGCCAAGTCACCTAAAATGAAGTGTGTTTGATGACAATGTAGGTGTTTAGCTGCCTGGCATATGTGTATAACCATATAAAAACAAACAATCTGAAAAAAAAGTCACATTCTGGACCTATTAACAATGTTTCTACTAGCCAGCTCTAAGCAATTTGCAAAATCAGTGTTTTCCAGTATTGGTTTCTAAAATCCAAGGAAAATATTTGCAGGCTATAAAATGCATTTATGTAGGGGGCATAGTTAGGCTGTGTAACATTGTCCTTACCTTCTGTGAGCCTGGCTTTGCCCCCAGTTGGCTGACACAGGACAGTTGAGCACCCTACACACAGAACTACTGTCTGAGCATGGCTGAAGACAGTGGTGATCTTGTAGCATCCTGAAAAACAACATTATGAAACTTTCCACTGGGTATTTCTAGCATAATTTTTTATGTGTTAATTGAATCAGGTACTCTAAATACACTTGTCCAAAATGCATCTATATTTCATTACACAACACACCAAGCCAAACTAGGCAAGCCATTGTTGTGCTCTGAAGTGCTTGCCTTTGTTTACATGATAGGAAAGTGAGTTGGGTAACAGGAACTGGTATGATTCCCATATGAAAATCAACAGGCCCTGCTGGCTGACATGCCCTAGTTTGCCTATCACATCTCCTGTAAGTTCAGGAGTTCCAGATTAGCCTCCTCTGCTGAACAGAGGAACACATGTTGCTGGAGAAATATTTAACTTGTAACAGTAGAACACTGCTGTTGACAAAGTCCAAAAGCTGGAAATATAAACACTGCTGTTCCAACCTGTGTTTGCTTTCTGTTTAATAATTTGTACATGTAAGGCTTGGTTGCATTCTATAAAACTAACATCATATTTAAATGGAAAGACTTGCACAGAAAAACTTCACTAATTCCCTATGCGACGCTTTTGTCTACAACTTATAAATTCTATGACTTAAGAAAGGATGAGATCACTCCTACATGGCTTAGAAATGGGATTTTCACTGCTTTTCAATTTTTTTTCCCTTGAAAAGTATTTTTAATTAGCCAAGAGGTATTTTTGGAGGGAGAAAACCTGTAAAGGATTTAATCTGTATGTGGATATACAAAATAAGTAAAGATGAGCAGAGATTGCATTTTCATACATGTGGATCAGCAATATAAGACAGAATATATGTTGTGAGCAGGGTCCTGTGACAAAAGGTCTGCTTGGTAAGGAGAAGTACTATTAGACAGAAAAACAGATCTCTGTTTAAATCACAAAGAGTAACTGTACAAATCTTTGTGAAAAACTACTAAGAGATGAAATTTAATCACAGCAAATTTTGGGTTTCCCCTGTTGAAGATGAACTTCCATGTTGATGAGTTTTTAATGTTTGTGGGTTTGGCAGGGAAATGAGTCCAACCCATTTGATTACTAAGGTAGGAACTTCAATTCCACTGACCTAGGGACACATAAAGCCAGCTGCTATTTTCAGTGCCTTGTGTATAGGATTCTATCATTATTGAAGCTCTACTGCTTTGCTCTATACATCCCTCAAACACAAAAAACAATTAACCCAACAATAATGAAGATAACCAATGACCTATGGGCCTATGTTGACACTAACTGTATCACAGTGTATGCATTCATGTATACTGGTTTGAACAAAGTGTAAAAAAAACCCAAAAAACCCCAGAGGCTTAGCCTTCAACCCTGTATTTGTTTAAAAGCAACCACAGTTTACTTTCAAGTTGTTTAAATAAATTTACCTCACTTTAAGATGGAATATGTCTCAGAGCTGCTTAGAAAACTAGGCTACTAAGAAAGGATAGGAAACCTGAGTACATCAACAGTTCCCTGGTTCTAAGTCAGGAAGATCACTATTGTAAGTGTTTTCTTACTGCTAGAATCTTCTTATGCTGCAGGAGTTGCTAAGAAATTACCACACTGGGCAATATGCATGTACCTGTGCTAAATAAAAAAGCTGTTCACTGGTAGAGCACATTCCTGTCGTGGTGCTACAAAATCCCATTGTTTAGTTTATAAAAGAGAAGTTGATTACACAGATGTCTCTGGACCAAAGTAGTGAAGAACCTCTGCAAAGTGGACATAGGCAGCATCTTATAACCCTTGTATATGAGCTAGATGGCAGCTTAGTTCTTAACAGCACATGCAAAAACGGCAGTCGTGTATGTTTTACTTTTATGTATATGTGCAGTATCCCTGCTTATATCCTTGATCCTTGTCAGAAGTTTTTCCAGTTGCTCTTTGAGAACTATTTTACAAAAGAAAGAAAACAATGTTGCCTTCTGTTTGAAACTTGTGCTATGGATACTTTAAGGCATCCATTTAATCTCACTTTTTATACATGTCAACCTGGGGGGTTGGGTTTTTCCCTGATTGCAAGGGTTTTATAGAGGAAAAAACTTAACTAAAGAAGCTCTTATGCCAGAACCTCCAGAAAAGTCTGATTGTTTACATTAACTTTTCCCAAAGATTGAAAACACTTTTACTGTTAAAAAATCCAAAGCAATATACAGACCATTTTCTCTACAGAATAGATAAACTAAACTCAGTTAAGAAATAATAATCAACCGTTATATGAACAGTATAAAAGATTAGTTTTGCTCCTTCCATAACGCATGAACATTTGAAACATTTACCTGGACATTTTACATCCATAAAGTAGGAGTTTGGGCTCTGCACAAGACGTTTCTTTTTGTGCTTCCTCTTCTCATCCTCCAAGGAGGGATGCACCAGGTCTTTGGCCAGCTGGGTGGGGCGAGAGGAGAAGCGCACTGCGCGTTAGGCGCGGCCGCGGGGCTGCCCCGCCGGGCCTTGGCGGCCGCCCGCGGCTCCGGGAGCAGCGCGGGGCCCGAGGGCAGCACCGACCGCCGGACACCGCGGGCAGCACCGACCGCCCGACACCGCGGGCAGCACCGACCGCCCGACACCGCGGGCAGCACCGACCGCCGGACACCGCGGGCAGCACCGACCGCCGGACACCGCGGCCGCTCCGTCACCCCCCGCCCCGTTAGAGCCCCGCGGTGCCCGGGCCCGGTGCGGCGGAACAACTCACCGGCATCTCCGCCGCCGGGCCGCCCCTTCCGCACGCTCCCCGCCGGTGCCGCGGGGCGGGCCCTCCCCCGTTCCCGTCCCCGCCCCGCGGCGGGAGCGTCACGCGTGTCCCTCCGACACGGCCCCGCGCGATGCCGGCCTCGGGCTGCGGGCGGCCTTTAGGAGAGCACCGGCTTCACGCCGCCTGCTGACCAAATCAGCGCTCATGCGGCGCGGAACCGTAGAAAATCAGGGTTGGAAGGCACCTCTGGAGATCATCCAGGCAGGGTCACCCAGAGGAGGTGACACAGGAACGTGTCCAGGTGGCTTTGGGATGTCTCCAGAGAGGGAGACTCCACAATCTCCCTGGGCAGCTGTGCCGGTGCTCTGCCAGCCTTCACGTAAGTTCTTCCTCATGCTGAGACAAAACTTTTTGTGGTTTAGTTTATGGCTATGGCTCCTCGTCACATCGCTGGGCACCGCTGGAAAAAGTCTGTCACAATCCTCTTGGCACTTGCCTTGAAGATATTCATATGCATTAATTATGTCTCTTCTCAATCTTCTCTTCTCTAGGCTAAACTGGCCCAGCTCCTGCTGTCTTTCCTCATAAGAGAGATGCTCCAGACCCCTCATCATCTTTGTGGGCCTCTATAGGACCCTCTACCTGTCTTTCTTGTTCTGAGGAACCCAGAAGTGAACATATGTATGTTGTTTCACAGTAAATGATACATTGCATGAAGCTGTACCCGTGAGCATATTCTTTTGCAGTTTCTCACCCCAGTCAAAAAGAAAAAGGCAGAAGAATTTCTGTTAGTTATCATTCATGTGCTTAAATCAATTTAGAGAACTTATAAGACATAAAAATATTGCAAATACTGGAAGTGTAAAAAAAATCACCTCTTTTTTTTTTTTTTTTTTTAGTAACAGGCTGAGTGTTTTGTCTGTAAGTCAGGAATCACAAATCTATCTGTAAAATCACGTGTACTTATCCTGGAACATCTAAAAGTGTAGTTCAATAGAAATCCTCCTGGTGGCACAACAGACCTTACAAAAATCACTTGGTATGAAGTCTTCCCAAAAGTCCAACGGGAACGTGTCGGGACACTGTTTTTCTAAGAGGGAACTGATGCATTTAGCAAAACTTATTTGAAAAGTTTGCCATGAGCACAAGTGAGGATGTAATTTCACAGAGGCATATCGTTCTGACAACAATATTCTCAAGGCTGGGCTTGGTCTCTCCACTGCTGACACTATAACAACTTTCAAAATACTGTCCACCCCAAATTCTTACATTATTTTGCCAGCATAGGCCCGTGTGTTGCAGTGCTCCAAGCACTATTGCTTTTCCTCTTCTCACTGCCACAGCCTTGTAACCCTCTAATGCTGTGTTAGCGTTTTTTCCTTGTGCGTTGGTTGGTGATGACACACAGATAGAGGTATTTTGGAAGTATTTCTTGTTGTATCATGGGGAATTTAATAGGAAGGGCTCTGACTCATACTTTCCTCTGCATGCTGTCCTGTGAAGCTAAGGACATAAACCAGTTTCCAGCACAGAGTCAGTTCTTGTGTCTTAGCAGTTCCTACTACCTTCCTGTCCTTTTTAAATGCATGTTATTTATGTGCAAGCAGAATGGAAAGAGGATAATTGCTTCAGGCTTTTGATTTAGTATCTGAAGGAGAGTTATGTTTTTCTGTGTTAAATACCTTCAGCATGTATAAAGCACTACTTAAAATAAAATAGAGCTTCTGAAGTGCCATCCTTCTTCACCTCTTCCTCCCAGTTTTCCCTTAGAGCTCTCTCCTGCAAAGAGCCTCTGGTGCCTGAGGAAAACTTTAGAGTCACATTAGAAATTGGCTTCCATGGAAGGAAGGGCACACAGGATGATCTGAAAACAGGATGTGTGTTGGACACATTCCTCTGGTTCTCTATTTTGGTTTTGCTTGTAGATTCATTTCCTTTTTCTAACAGCTTGTAGTTCAGTGACCTGCTGTATGAGTAAATTCTACTGCATTACCTTTAATCTTACAATTTAAGCTTTTTGTGATGTGTATTCTTTAGAAAACAGAAACGCAGCACTGAGTTGAAGTGTCAGTTAGCAAGGAGAGAAATGCTGTCTGCACAACAGTGGTTTGGCCTACTAAGACACAGATAGATTTAGGTCTAAGAGAACAACTTCCTCTTTCCAGCCTTCTCCCAGCAAGCAAGGACTTTTCATCTCGCTTTAGGGAAAAAATAAAAAAAAAACAACCAAAAAAACCAACCAAAGAAACTTTATCTGTTTTCTAGAACGACAAAATTCCAAAAGTTGATCTGGAAATGTTTTAAACCAGCATAATGACAGTTGGGTTTTCTCCTGCATTGCCAGCATCAGTCTCACGTGGTTGAAAGCTGAATCTGTGTCTCTGAGGATGTGTTGTGGTGGGTTCCTGCTGGGTTGGGACAGCCACAAGCCCTCACTGTGATGAGCACCTGCTGCCCTGGTACTGCTTTTTTCTGCTCCATTTGTGGTCTTCTGCACCTGAATATGGGTAGCTCCTTAGGATTTGCTATCTGATGCTATCTGATGGCTTTTGGAAGGTTTTACTACAGAACCTTGTACAAACTGCCTGTGGTCACTGACAAAATGTGTAGTGACTGATTTTGGAAACCCAAATTCCCCCTACTAATGTTCATAGTGGTTGTCTAGAATACTAAAATGGGGATGGGTGGCTCTGTAATACTATTGTTAATAGCATTTAGATTTCTTTTTGATAACCACCTTTAAGCTGCATTCAAAATAAGTTCACTTTGACTGGTATGTTTGATCCAGAATGTGGCCTGTCTGTGGTTTTGCCTATACTGCAGAATTAGTTTTAAGTGATTGTAAACTAATGGTGTAAACTGTGGCATGTAATAATTTGTTTTAAATATGCTTGTGCTCAGATAGTTTAGATTAGCAGTGGAAACTGAAGAAAGTCCACTTTTAGCACTACTGTAAGAGCTAATTTTGAAATTAATGGATTTTACAGATAAGAATCTTACAGTGTTTTTTCCTTCTAGAATTGAACTGTACATACTTTGTGTAATTTTTTTTTTCCCAATAATGACTTAATTTAACCTCTTCTATATAAAGTTCTGCAGTATATACATATGGAAAATTCATACATTTAGATCACTATAGTAATGGAGAGTACTGTTCTTTTGTACATTAAACCAATGCATTAATCTTAAAACTAGGAGTTGAAAGCAGGACATATCAACCTATCAAATGCAGTAAGACAAAGTGTAGAATGAGCCCAGAAGTATACACCTTCTAGTGAAATAAGTGAAACACTTGTTTACTGGAAATAGGTAATAAGTGATTTTTTTAAAGGAGTGTCACATGATAGTCATCTACAGTAATGAATTCCAGAGGCACCTGCCAAAGTCAGAGTTGTTAGAGATATGCATCAAAAAATATTATTATATTGGGTAGCAGAGTTCAAAAGATAAAGAGCAAAGCTCATGTTAATGACTTATGGTTAGGTGGCACTCAGGGCAGGACTGCCTCATAAGATTATTGTGGGTAGGACTTGGACTCGCTGATTCCAGTTTGTGCCAAAATAACAGGATCTTAGTTCTCCCAGCATGTTTTAAACTCTGGTTGTTGTTTTTTTTTAACCTTGTACTTAAGCAGTTAAGATGCAGAATTTTCTACAGTTTTGTATGTGTTGAGAAGAGCTTAATTGAAAACAGATTTTCACACAGTTGTCTTTTTACCTAACCAGTCTCACTTTTGAACTAAAGGCGGGGAAAGGATTTTGAAAGCTAGAAGTAAGGATATCTACCATTTGAGAAATTAAAAATGAGAGTGGGAATGAAGTAGCAATATCATGTTTTTTTCTTTAAAATGTAGGTGTTGGGAAAAAAAGTGTTTTCTGGCTTTTTAAAAGATTTTTGAACTTAGTGCATAGGAGTAGAGGTCACCATTACCTTTTGCTCTTCCTATTAGTTCCTTTTTTTAACTGAGGGCTTTAACAGATGCACTTTACCTACACCCCAGTGACTAATGGAATTCTGCCATACCTTGATTAGGACTCACCTGTTTATTGAATGAGCTTGAACTATGATACTGATCTTTTATTGGATGAACTTGAACTATGATACTGATCTCCTTTTACAGATGACCTGCCCGGTGGGTGAGGGAAAGGCTGTGCTGTCTGCCTGGACTTCAGTAAGCCTTTGGCACTGGCTCCCACGGCAGTCTCCTGGAGGAGCTGGCAGCCCATGGCTTGGACAGGAGCCCATGGCTTGGACAGGAGCACTCTGCTGGGTTAAAAACTGTCTGGATGTCTGGGCCCAGAGCATGGCAGTGAATGGTACCACATCCCGTTGGGAACAGTCACTAGTGGTGCTTCCCAGGGGTTCTGGGTACTGTGCCCAGTCCTTTTTGAGGTTTTTATTGATGATCTGGATGACAGGATTGAGGGCACCCTTAGGAAGTTCATGGACGACATGAAGTTGGATGGGATTGTTGATCTGCTGGAGGACAAAAAGGCTCTGCAGAGGGATCAGGACAGGCTGGATCTGGCTGCTAAGCCCAGCTGTGGGAGGTTCAACAAGGCCAACTGCTGGGTCCCGTCCTTGGGTCACAACAACCCCCTGCAGCACCACAGGCTGGGGCAGGGGGACTGGAAAGCTGCCCAGCAGAAAAGAGCCTGGGAGGTCCTGCTGACAGGGGCTCAACTTGAGCCCAGGTGGGCAAAAAGGCCAATGGCACCTGGGCTGAACCAGCAATGGTGAGTTCAGCAGGGCCAGGGCAGTGACCTGAATGTGCTGGGGGGCAATCCTGGGGGTTCCTCAATTCAGGAGAGACATTGAAGTGCTGGAGTGAGTCCAAAGAAGGACAGCAGAGCTGGGAAGGGTCTGGGGCACAAGTCTGATGAGGAACAGATTGGGGAGCTGGGGGTGTTTAGCCTGGAGAAAAGGAGGCTCAGGGGTGAACTTATCACTACTGAAAGGAGGGTGTAGTAGGGTGAGGATCAGGTTCTCCTCCCAGGGAACAAGTGACAGGATGAGAGGACATGGC